GAAATGATAAAAAGAAGAAAAAGAAAAGATAGAAAATACACAATGGGACTGCCTGTGACTCCTTCTATCAGTGCTGCAGCCGTATTTGTCAGCCAAATTACAATTATTATAACTCCATAAAACCATGTTTTGATCAAACGATGTCTAAATGGACAGAAAGTCGCATGTACCCTCTCTAATGAAATGGCAGCGAGATTCAGAAGAGAAGCAAAAGGGAAGCGCTCCTCTAAAGCGATACGCAGTGCTCGATAGACTTCACTGGTCAACCCAAATTCCCATAGATCACAATAACTCCCTAACCAGTAAATATAAATTGGCCCTGAGACTGCCCCGACTAAAATATCGACTGTCGCCAGATGGATGATCAAGTATGGACTTTTGCGGTTTAGCTGGCGCTTCTTCACAAACACAACGGTAATGATGACATTAAGGATGACTATAGCCAGACATTCAGTGATGGCTGCAACAACCAAAGGAATGCTTTCGGATTCAAGAAACGGCGAACGCCTCGTGTCGCCATGTGTGCGGTTGATAGCGTTGCTAAGCATTCAGTTCACGCTGGAGTTTGTAACTTGCCCGATAATCTGTAACAAGGATATTCACTTCATAAGTGATTGTTGAATAATATATTGACTGGGAATATATAGATAGATGTAAAATGGCATGGAGGAACTCATTTTGTAGTTTCCCTCTGGTGCATTCTAATTGTGCATAATGATAAAAAATATTTACGTTGACTTTCCGTGAAACTAATAAGCGTTTGTGAGGGGTTAAATTATTCGATCTAAATAGAGAGTGAAGGAAAAATATAGAACCTGACTGTTTTAAATACACGAAAGAATACATAATCTCTTGACCTACACAAGTACTAAGGTCTGAAACATATCACTTTGGCTTTTTATTTTCACATGTTATCACAATATTTACCTTGCATAAAAGAGAACTCCTGACGGATTCGGCGAACCGTGACTCAACCAGGCTGGGTTTTTGGGAAGAGAAATTCATTCCTCCAATATCGGCTCAATCAGTTAATATATATGGAACAATCTACGATCACGCCAATTTGCTCTGCAAAGGTTAATAAGTTTTCATCAAAGCTGTTTTATTTAATTCTTCGGAGTTTCAACTTACCCTGATACTGAAAATTTCTTTAAACATACCTTAACGGCAATGACCGTTCTTCTAATAGATTGATGTTCGCAAGCAAAGTTCAGATGGAGTAGCAATCTTCAACCCAGCAAGGATCACATAAATATGACA